CCTCGGATCGATGATTTGTTGGACATGGTGTAGGGCTGCACGATATTCAGCAAGATCGACCTAAAATTTGGCTACCACCAGATTGAGATGGTTGAAGGTGATGCCCACAAGACAGCCTTCAAGACCAGATATGGTACCTATGAGTACGTGGTCATGCCATGCGGTCTTCGCAATGCCCCTGACACTTTCCAAACAGAGATGCATCGCATACTCAGGCCTTACCTGGATAAGTTTGTAGTTGTCTATCGGGATGATATCTTGATATTCAGTCATTATATCCAGGAGCATGTGCAACATCTAGCTCTTGTCCTTCAGGCCTTACATGACAACCAGTACAAGATCAACAGAGAGAAGTCCTCTTTTAGAGTTAGCTTTGTTGTCTATCAGGGTCATGTCATTTCAGGAGAGGGGTTGGCTCCTGAAGCAACTAAAGTTGTTGTTGTTCAGGACTGGCCGAAGCCTCTAAATGTTTGTGATGTCCGGACTTTTCTGGGTCTTGCATCGTATTATAGGAAGTTCATCCAAAACTTCTCCTCCATTGCAGCACCCCCGACTGACCTCGTGAAGAAAGATACTCCCTTTCTTTGGACATCAGGCTATCAGGAGGTTTTTACACGCCTCAAGGAGACTTTGATTCGTGCACCTGTTTTGAAGTTACCTGACCCTACCTTGCCTTTTGTGCGAACCACTGATGCATGTCAGTATGGTATAGGGGCGGTACTTCAACAAGATAACGGTAATGGTCTGCAGCCTGTAGAGTACATGAGCAAAAAGATAAAAGCTAAGAAACTGCAAAACTCTACATATGAGAAGGAGCTCTATGCTCTTGTGTCAGCGCTCAAGCATTGGACGCACTTTCTCCTGGCAGATACTTCAAGATCTTTTCAGATCACTCCACCCTTTAGTGGACGGAGTCCCAGGGTGAGTTGAATGACAAGCTTGCCCGCTACATTCAGTTCATTGACTTGTTTGACTTTGAACTGAAACACGAGAAGGGCTGCTACAATAAAGTAGCAGACGCCCTTTCTCGTAGGCCTGACGCGCCCTTCTTGATCTCCTTCACTCACTCTTTTGGAAAGAAGACTCTTTAGACCATTGTGTTATGATCCTGACCAATTTCGAGATACACATTCATCAGATAGTACAATGTCGTCCAATTGCATAAAGAAATGAATGAACTTGAGAGGAGAGAGAAGGTTAGAAGAAGAAGAAGAAGTAAGAAAGAAGAAGAAGATGATGTACACCAACATAGACAAACGATAAAGCTTTTCTTCTTCGCTCAACCCTCTCTTCCTCCTTATCTCCTCCTCTCTTATTCATACAAGAACTAATAATACAATGTTGAATAGCTGAACCAGAATCAAAGTCTGAATCCCTCTTCTACTGCAGGTATCACTTGAGCTCCACCATAGCCATGGCCACCTCTCTCATTCTTTATGCTCATAGGTCGAGGCTATGGCGGACTACTAGCCCTTGCCCAGATGCCCAACGGACAACCCAAAGCAGCTATGGCTGCTCTAGCTCAGGCCGCCATGCCTGACCCTGCCTCGAAGCTTCTTGGTGTAGCTCAACCCCAGTTGGGGCCTTCCTGCGGCAACACCCACCAAGGTGATGAAGATGGCTGCCACCATAGCCAGGTAAGTACCTGTGGCGCTCCTCCCCCTTCCTGTCCTTCTTCCTCCTCCGAGTCCTTGCTGCTTCCCCAGCAGCGCTAGCAGCGCTGCTCCAGCCAGCACTCCAACCAGTGTGTCGCCAAACTTGCACACCGACAATGAGGTTGGGCTCTTCGCCGGACCTGGAGATATAGCGGTATGCTTGCCTCTTGGGCGCTAACTTCCAGGCCGCTAGGCCTTCCCAAGCAACCGGTACCTCATCCCTTTCAGAGGGAAACATCATTGCAGACTCTGATATTGCCCGTACAGGCCCTAGACTCAGACTAGTTGGACTGGTACCCGCCTAAACCTAGCCTACAACTACTGGGCCTCTTCAAAATGCCACTTTTGTCTTCTTCTGCTCAGCCTCCAGTACCCTCACATCTACCTCTTCAGGGTGCGGCACCGGCCTACCTGCTACTTGAGTGTTTTCCCTCGCTGCAATCCCTCAATGTCAAGGCCACGGATAAGTACCGGCCCTGAGGGCCCAACGAACGAACAAGTCCCCTTGCGGGCCACACACACACTCAAGCCAACCAGCACTCAGACAGACATGCAGTCCAACAAGCGTGCATACACACAGACTTAGAGAACTTAGTAGCAAGCGGGAAACACAGCAAGGCATTCAGTTTATGGGCAAAACTCATAAATCAGTTGTGTGTTTCAGTCCATGTTTGGTCGGGTTATCACACTACTCCCCCCTCCAGAGTGAGGTCCCTTCGAGCGAGTAACTCATTCTGAGTCCCCGACAAACGCATCGTAGGCAAACAAGGCAAAGAGATTTCGAGAATACTCTGTCGCAGTGAGCTTGGCAGAGATTTTAGGTGCATCATTAAAGGTGATTTGTCGCTCGTAGGCTTTAACAACGCGTGGTGCACTACGCAACAGTTCCTGCTTGGAAATCCAGTATATGTTACGATCCTGGTCATTCCCAAAGTGCAAATTCACAATGAAAGACAATGCCACCCAATTGCGAAAGAAATGAAAGCACTTGCAAAGAAATAAAGACTAGAGAAGAGGGAAAGAAGAAGAAGAAGAAGAACAACAAGAAGAAGAAGAAGATGTACACCAGCAAGACCAATGACAAATCCCCCCTTCTCTCTCCACCTTCCTCCTCCTCCTTCACTTCGCCAATCTTATTCTTCTCTCAATAATAATAATAACAATGAGTGGATGAACCAGAATCAATATCCGAAGTTCCCTCTTACTGCTGACTCAACAACAACAACAACAACAACAAGTCCACCATAGCTATGGATTCCCTCCTTCTTCCTCCTCTCACATGCCTAGGCTATGGCAGACTACTGAGGGCCCTGCCCTCCTGAACAAAGGACAACCCAAAGCAGCTATGGCGCTGCACTCCTGTCCAAAGGACAACCCAAAGCAGCTATGCCGCTGCTGACTGATCCGCATGCCTGACTCTGCCTCGAGGTTCCTTGGTGCGGCACTACCCCAATTGGGGCCTTCTAGATGCAGCGCCCAACAAGGTGATGAAGATGGTGTCCACCATAGCCAGGTAGGTGCCTCGCCACTCTCCTCCTTTGTCCCCTTCTTCCTCCTCCTCAGGCTGGGCTGCTGGCCATAGCTAGGCTGAGCGCCCAGCTGCCCTTCACCTCCAGGCAGCGCTGTACCAGTCCAGCGTTGTGCTCCAGCAGCATGTCGCCAATCCTTGCATACCGTAAATGAGGAGGAGCTACTTGCTCCTCCCGAAGATATAGTGGCCTACTGGCCTCTTGGGCGGTGACTTCCTAGGCCGAGCGGCCTCCCAGCAACTGGTACCTCCTCCCTTTCGGAGGGAAACATCATTGCAGGCTCTGCTATCCTCCGGACAGGCCCTAGACCCGGGCTACTTGGACTGGTACCGGCCTACCTCTAGCGTACCGCTACTGGGCCTCTAAAAATGCCAACTTTTTGTCTTCTTCTGCTCGGCCTCCAGTACCCGACACTTCTACCACTACTTCAGTGGTACCGGCCTACCTGCTACTTGAGTGTTTTTCCCCTCTGCTCTTAGTGTCGCGGGCCTACCCCCGCTACTCGAGTATTTTCCCCGCTGCAACCCTCAAAGTCACGGCCACAGGTAAGTACCGTCCCTGCGGGGCCTTTCAACCAACAAGTACCCTTGCAGATCACACACACACTCAGCCGACAAGCACTCAGATAGGCATGCAAACCAGTAGGCACGCACACACACACAGACATGGAAATCACAACAGAATGCGGGACTCTCAGCAAGGCATTCATTCCAGCGGCAAATCCCAGAAATCAGCAGTGTTCTCAGTCTGTGTTTTTGGCGGGTCATTACATATAGATCATCCAACGGGTGATACATGAAATGAACCTGGTACTGTCTGTTTCGTCCTTTCCCTACGTGCTGTTTAATCCTGTCTATCTCATGTCTGCCATTGATTGCACGAGGAATCATGTCTTCATGGTAATCGAACGATTTAGCAGCACGGTGGAGATACAGTTTCCATGCATGAAAAACGAGATATATGCGCAGATGAGGTGGCACAGCAACTACGTATGAAGGGCCAAAGCTATCTTCGCCAATCACATCCAGAACTTCCCACGGACCATAATAGAGTGGGAAAAGTTTGTGTGAAACTCCGTCTTCTTCTGAAAATTCAGACATCTTGACCCAGACGTAACTTCCTACCTCAATATCTGAAGGTCGGCGCTTCTTGTTTGCATGATGGATCATGGCGTGCTGTCGCTTGGTCATTGCTGCAATGACAACTTTGAGCAAGCGATCGTACTTGGCCCTGAAGCCAGGCCTGCCGGGTGTTAAACCAGCTGGCTGCTCAGGGACTAGGTAGAAGAGCGGATTATGATTCTGCCAACCGTAATGCACACTGTTTGGTGCCATGCCGGTGGCAGAATGGATGGAGTTGTTGTACAACCCCTTGACGGAATACAACTATTCATCCCATGTTTCCTGATCCGGAATGATTAAAGTGCGGAGAAGTTCGAACATAGTCTGGTTGATTTCCTCAGCCAAACCGTTGGCTTCGGGGTGTCGGCCAGATGTCATGCATAGCTTGAGGCCAAGGAGTTGGGACGTGAAGTCTTTCCATTCAGTACTGATGAAGCGCGGGTCCAGATCACTTACGAGAGTTTTCGGGGTTCCGAACTGCAGAACGTACTTCTGTTTGAACTCGCGGATCACCAATTCAGTTGGAGCATGAAATGGCAAAGGAATCGGATTAAGGAATTTAGAGAAGCGGTCAACAATCACCATGACTTGTGAATAGCCATTCTTACTTACCTTACTCATGTCGGTGAAGTCGATAGAGACAGACTCCCCGGGACCATCGAGAATGGGAAGGGGTGTAAGTAGCCCCATGGGCTTTTGTCTACATGGTTTGATTCGTTGACAGACTTGACATTCAACCACAAACTTTTCGGCAGATCCCTTCATGTCAGGCCAATCAAACTATCTCAATAGGTTTCCGTATGTCTTTGCCATGCTGAAGTGTCCACTCCGGCCCGCCATGAACCAAGTCCAGAAATTGCGTGCGGAGAGGCTCATGGTTGGGCACACACAAACGGTCGTGATTCCCGTAGCAACGAAAAATCAGTTCTCCATACTCGTGAAAATCAGGCTGACTGCTGGGGTCAGCCCGCAACTGCTCAAGGATGGGACTAAGGTCCGGATCCTTGGCAGTGTGCTCTACGATCTCCTCCTTCAGTTTCTTCTGGAGGTCGTAGGAATTCACAAGGCAAGTCATGTACTCAGGGTGGTGAGACAATGCATCAGCAACTCGGTTATAACAACCCTTTTTGTGCCTTAACTCAAAGTCGAAAATGTCAATTTCATGGAACCAGCGAAGTAAGGTAGGGGACAGGGTAGTTTGCTCTTGGATCCACTTCAGAATCTCATGATCTAAGAACACTTCGAAGTGGCGTCCCAAAAGATAGTGCTTCCAATGGTCCAAAGCCATACGCAAAGCATAGAGCCCGAGCATGTAGGTGGAACTGGCTACCTTTTCGCTGGGCATGCGTTTGCTGTAGTATTCGAGCGGCCGCAAGCCATCGCCGTCATCTTGCTGCAACACTGCGCCAATTCCATACTGGCTTGCATCCGTAGTAACTACGAATGTCAGTTTGGAATCTGCAATGCGGAGTACAGGGTAACTTACCAAAGTTTCTTTCAAATCTTGAAAGGCGTTCTCGCATGCGGTGTCCCAAGCGTAGGGAACTTTCTTACCTGTTAATCAGGACAATGGGCGAGCAACGATAGAGAAGCGGGGCACAAACTTCCGGTAGTACAACGCGAGACCAAGGAAAGAGCGCAGTTCGCGGATGTTCGCGAGCTGAGACCAGTTGTGTATGACCTCAACCTTGGTTGCCTCAAGCTCTAGGCTCGCAGCAGACAACCGATGCCCCAGATAGATGACGTTATCCCTCCCAAACTCAGATTTCTCTAAGTTGAGGTGGAGTTGCATCTTCTTGAGGATGATGAACACTTCCTCAAGGTGCTTTATGTGTTCCTCCATGGATTTGCTGAACATTGGTATGTCATTAAGGTATTGGTATGTCATCAAGGTATACCACCATGAACCGACCAATCTGTTCGCGAAGGACCTTGTCCATGAGGCTTTGAAAGGTGGCCGGTGCGTTTGTGAGGCCGAACGATATTACGGTAAACTCGTAAAGCCCATCGCGTGTTTTGAACGCAGTCTTATGCTGGTCCGCAGGATCGACTTCAATCTCGTGATAGCCAGACTTGAGGTCGCTCTTGGAGAAGACCTTGCACCCACCTACAGCATCAAGCAAGTCATCTATGCGCAGCAATGGATATGTGTTCTTTCTTGTGATTGTTATGATCCTGGCCAATTTCGAAGTATACATTCACCAGAAAGTACAATGCCGTCCAATTGCAAAAAGAAATGAATGAACTTGAGAGGAGAGAGAGGGAAAGAAGAAGAAGAAGAAGTAAGAAAGAAGAAGAAGTGTACATTCATCAGAAAGTACAATGCCGTCCAATTGCAAAAAGAAATGAATGAACTTGAGAGGAGAGAGAGGGAAAGAAGAAGAAGAAGAAGTAAGAAAAAAGAAGAAGATGATGTACTCCAGCATAGACCAATAACAAGGCTCTTCTTCTTCTCCAACCAATCTCCTCCTCCTTATCTCCTCCCCTCTTATTGAAACAAGAAATAACAATAATATTGTTGAATGGCTGAACCAGAATCAATGTCTGAATCCCACTTCCACTGCAGGCATAACATGAGGTCCACCCTAGCCATGGCCACCCTTCTCCTTCCTCGTCATTGCAGGCCGAGGCTATGGCGGACTACTGAGTCTTCAGCCTCCTGTCCAAAGGACAACCCAAAGCAGCTATGTCGCTGCCCCACTTCAAGCAGCTATGTCGCTGCTCACTAAACCGCCATGCTTGACTCTACCCCAAACTTCCGTGGTGCGGCACTACCCCAACGGGGGCCTTTCAGATGCAGCGCCTAACAAGGTGACGAAGATGGTGTCCACTATAGCCAGGTAGGTACCTCGCCACTCTCCCCCTTGGTCCCCTTCTCCTTCCTCCTCCTACCAGTAGAGCTCCACCATAGCCAAGGTGGAAGCTCCCGGCTTCTTCCTCCCAGCAGCGCTGTAGCAGCCAGCGCTCTTCCAACCAGCGCTCCAACAACATGACGCCCAACTCGCACACTGAAGAATGAGGTTGAGCTCATCCCTCAGCGTCCTGATATAGCGGCCTACTCGCCTCCTGGGCGGTGACTTCTAGGCCGCTCGGCCTCCCAAATAACTGGTACCTCCTCCCTTTCGGAGGGAAACATCATTGCAAACTCTGATATTGCCCGTACAGGCTCTAGACTCAGACTGGATGGACGGGTACCGGCCTAGACCTAGCCTACCACAATTGGGCCTCTAAAAATGCCAACTTTGTCTTCTTCTGCTCGGCCTCGAGTACCCGGCAGTGGCCGACACATATACTGCTACTGGGTGCGGTACCGGCCTACCTGCTACTTGAGTGTTTTTCCGCTGCTCTAAGCACTGCGGGCCCCTGTCTCCGCTACTTGAGTGTTTCCCTGCTGCAACCCTCAATGCCATGACCACAGGTAAGTACCGGCCCTACGGGCCTACCAAACAAGCAAGTACCCTTGCGGGTCACACACACACTCATGCCAACAGGCACTCAGACAGGCACGCAAGTCAACAGGCACGCACACATACAGACTCAAAAAACACAAAAGAATGCGGGAATCTCAGCAAGGCATCCATTCCATCCACAAAACTTCAGAAATCAGCAGTGTTCTCAGTCTGTGTTATGGCGGGTCATTACACTACCCCCCCCTCAAGACCGAGGCCCTTTCGAGCGAGTAACTCAATCAGAGTCCTTGCATAATGCATCATAAGCGTAAATAGCAAAGAGAGATCGGGTATGTTCCGTAGGAGTGAGGGTAGCAATGAATTTAGGCTGCTGTTCAGAACTAATCAATCGTTCATATGCGTTGACGACTCGCGGGGAACTCTGCAACAAATTTTTCTTAGCAATCCAACAAAAGTCATTCAATGGATGATATAGGAAGTGGACTTTATATTGTCTGTTTCTCCCCTTCCCACTATGCTCGACAATTCTATCAATCTCATGACCGCCCTTGATTGCACGAGGAATCATTGATTCTCGATACGGAAAAGTTTTGGGTGGTTCATACGGAAACAACTTCGATGCATGAAAGACTGGGTACGTGCGGAGATGAGGAGGCACGTCGATCGTGTAAGAAGGACCAAATGAATCATTCCCTACTCGGTTCAGCACCTTCTACGGACCGTAGTACTGAGGAAGAAGCTTTCGTGATACACCTTCTTCTTCAGAAAACTCAGACATCTTGACCCAGACATAACTTCCCACTGTGAAAGGGTCAGGCTGGCGCTTTTTGTTTGCATGCTTAATCATGGCACTGCGTCGCTTTTCCATAGCTGCGACAACAACTTTGAGCAAACGATCGAACTTAGCACTGTAGCCTGGCTGGCCAGGTGTCAGGCCAGGTGGCTGTTCAGGGAACAGATAAGATAGGGGATTGCGGATTTTCCACCCAAGGTGTAGCCGGTTAGGTGTCATCCCGGTGGAAGAGTGTATAGAGTTGTTGTACAACCCTTGCACAATCGACAATTCCTCATCCCAAGAGTTTTGATCAGGCACAATTAGAGCTCAGAGAAGTTGGATCACAGTCTGGTTGATCTCCTCGACCAGTCCATTGGCTTCGGGATGTCGACCATACGTCATCTTGAGCTTGATGTCATATATCTGGGAGGTGAAGTCCTTCCAATCTGCACTTACGAACCTGGTGTCCCGGTCACTCACAAGAGTTTTCGGGGGTCCATATTGCAAAATGTACTGCTTGTGAAACTCTTTGATCACCAGATCTGTTGGGGCGTGAGGTGGTAATGGGATCAAGTTCAGAAATTTGAAAGCGGTCAACAATCACCATTACTTGCGAATATTCATTCTTACTCTTCTTCCCCATGTCCATGAAGTCGATGGAAAGAGACTCACCCGGGCCATCAGGAATAAGAAGAGGATGCAGCAGCCCATAGGGCTTCTGCCGAGACGGTTTGATGCGTTGACAGACTTCACACTCAGCCACAAACTTTCGTGCCATTCCTTTCATTCCAGGCCATACAAACTTTTGCAGCAGACTTCCGTATGTTTTCTCAAAGCCGAAGTGTCCACTCCGGCCATGAGCCAAGTCCAAGAAGTGAGTAAGGATCGGCTCATGGTTGGGTACACACAGTCGGTCGTGCTTCCCGTAACGTCGGAAAAGTAAGCCCTTACATTCATGGAAATCAGGTTGACTGCTAGGGTCAACCCGAATCTGCTCAAGGATGGGACTGAGTTCTGGGTCCTTGGCAGTATGCTCAATGAGTTCCTCCTTCAAATTCTTATGGCGATCATAGGAACCCACAAGGCAAGTCATGTACTCAAGATGGCGAGAAAAAGCATCCGCAACGCGATTGTAACAATCTTTCTTGTGCCTAAGTTCAAAATCATACACATCAATCCCATGCAGCCAGCGGGTCAATGTGGTTGATGGATTAATCTATGTATGAATCCATTTCAAAATCTCATGATCTGAGAACACTTTGAAATGACGACCCAAGAGGTAGTGTTTTCAATGATCTAGTGCCTCTCTCAAGGCATAGAGTTCTCGCATGTAAGTGGAAGCAACTACCTTGTGACTGGGCATGCATTTGCTGTAATATTCAAGCGGACGTAAGCCATCGCTGTCATCTTGCTGCAGCACTACACCAATCCCATACAAGCTTGCATCCATAGTTACTACAAATGTACGTTTGGGATCTGCAATGCGGAGCACCGGATGACTCACCAAAGCCTCCTTCAACGCTTGGAAGGTTGTTGTGCATTCCCCATCCCATGTGTAAGACACATTCTTACTTGTCAACTTGGACAGCGGACGGGCGATGATAGAGAATTGAGGTACAAACTTACGGTAGTATGATGCAAGACCAAGAAAAGAACGCAACTCGCGGACATTGGCCGGTTGAGGTCAGTTGCGGATGACCTCAACTTTGGTTGCCTCGGGCTCTAGGCCTGCAGCAGACAACCGATGTCCAAGGTAGATGACGCTGTTCCTCCCAAACTCAAATTTCTCCAAGTTGAGATGAAGTTGCACATCCTTGAGGATCTGTAACACTTCCTCAAGGTGTCTCATGTGCTCCTCCATCGACTTGCTGAAGATTAGTATGTCATCCAGATAAACAACAACAAATCGATTGATCTGATTGTGGAACACCCTGTCCATGAGACTTTGAAAGGTGCCTGGTGCATTCGTGAGGCCGAAGGGCATGATGGTAAACTCGTACAGCCCATCGTGAGTTTTGAATGCAGTTTTATGCTGGTCTGCAGGGTCGACTTCAGTCTGGTGGTAGCCAGACTTAAGATCGATCTTGCTGAAGACCTTGCACCCACCCGCAGCATCAAGCAGATCATCAATACGCGGCAAAGGATATGCATAATTTCTTGTTATTCTATTCAGTCCACGGTAATCGATACACATCTGTAGTTTGCCTCATTTCTTCGGGACAAACAGAACCGGTGCACCAAATTCGGATTCGCTTGGCTTGATCCATCCCTTCCCAATCATGCCATCGATCTGCCTTCGCAACTCTTCCAATTCGCCTGAGTCCATTTGATAGACACAACCTTTTGGAGGAGTGCTGCCTTCTATCAACTCGATCTTGTGTCGGACCGGATGCATAGGAACTCCATGCGGTTCGGCCAAGACTTCAGGAAATCGGTTGAGAAGGTTGCAAATTTCTGATGGGATCTCTGGAGGTGGATCATCACATTCAGGTGCAAGCATACCGGATTGCATTGGTGCAGCCAAAACAACAGGATTTGAAGCAGAGTCGTTTGGACTACAAGTAGATTTAGTAGAGGTAGAAGTAGTTGCCTCAAAAGTAGAAACGACATGCAAAGTAGAATCATTATGTACAGCAAAAATAGAAGGCACATGAGCAGGCCTAACAAAGCCTATATACATCTGCTCATCAACTTTGTGCCTGCGCCACTTTTTGCAGAATTACATTGCATTGAGAAAAGTGACTTGGGACTCGTGCGGCTCATCCAAGAGGACTGGACACTCAATTCCCGTGGCATCTTTGACCATGAATTGTGAATCCTTCCACGTGGTTCTTTCACATTGGGCCTGCAACCAACCCAAGCCAATAACCGCATTGAAGGGGCACTGATCAAGGACATAGAAGTTCAATTCATGCGTGATTGTGCGGTCTGCGTCAAAGGTAGTGCGCACACCTTTGACTGCACGCGTAGATGTGACAACCTCTTGGTTGCCTACTTGGGTCCGACAAGGATTCTGCAAAGTCACTTGCTTCATTCCCAAGCGTGCCTTACGAATGTCGTGCGGTGAGAAGTAGTTGGCGGTTGCGCCACAATCAGCCAACGCACGGATGTAACGACCGTTAATGTGGAGTTTGAAGAAGATCAACTTTGTTTTCCCTTGCGCGCGTTCTTGCTTCATGTGAGCCCAACGCGACAAGAGAGCATGAAAGTTGATTTCTTCCGACCCCACCCAAGGCTTCTTGTATAGGATGTGTATTTTCTTAGCCTTGGAATCAGCATCAGATGGGGTCTCAGGAGAGGTTTGCTGAGTGGGATCAGAATCCGGTGAAGGATCTGCACTTACATGTTCAGCCTCTCCATCTGTAGAGTGTTTTGATGATATCTCTACCCCCATTGCTGGTTTCCCTGCTGCAATCTGAAGCAATGTTGGACTGAATGTCCCGGTTTGGTGTAGTGTAGGCAAATCCCCTTCTTCACCCTGTGTTTCCACTCACTTTCACTGATCCGGAGATCTACCCATGGTTTGGTGGCAGGATCTTCCGGTTTGGGTGGAATCTTCGCTCCCTTAGGAAGGAGAATGGTGTTAGTATTGTTCTTCATTGTGGTCCTGGGTCCCTTACTTTTGAAGGCAGTCTTCTTGAAGGCATTCATAGATTCATCGTCATTTAAGTCCACGGGGGAAACTGGTCACTTGATCCAGTGACACCCCGCCAAATAGGTAAGAGAACTCAAAGCAAGTAGAGTTAGTGAGCCGTGTAATGGACAACTATTTCGCACGGTTCGGAGGAGCAAGATGCCTCGCAGCCTTGCTCTTGATCGTCATCAAGAGAAGGATCCTCTTCGAAGGTCTCTTCGTCATCCTCAAGTAGATCGTGCGCTGAAAAACGGTTGCTGCTTGGAAACCGTTTGCGGCCGGTGGCCTTTTTGCCACCCGATCCACCCTGGAGGTCTTGTGCCTCCAGGTTGACTAAGTCCCTCATGAGGGTAAGCCAATTTGTATATGCTATGAGTCTGAGCCCCTGGCGATGTGTTATGGTAGAGGGGACCGTACCTTTAATCACATCCAAGCAAGACTGCGCAGTCATCTCCAAATCAGGAGTAGCAAAAAGTTTACTAACGTACTGCTGCAGACTATGCATGGTGCCGGTCCACTTGCCGTGCTTGAGCTTGTCAAGCTTAAGTCTAGCCTTGGTTGCAGCATATGGATCAGCATATTGCTTAATCAAGAGTTCCCTGAATGCGGCTATAGGCGTAGCCTTCAGCCATTTGTTCAAGTCTATTCTTTTATAGCTTGACTGTACAGCTTGGACTTCTAAGAAGCCCCTTACGGCAGGTTCCACATTGGTCCCTAGGACCGACGACTGAGTTATTGGGGGTGTCCCTAGCACATCAAAGTAGGATCGCATGGAGCTGATCCAAGATTCGATGTCGTCTTTTCCGTCATACTTAGACGAAATATGTGCCGCCTTCCTGTCCACATAGGGAAAGATGCAACTGGGACCAGCGATTGCTGGGTCCGAATTCGGGGCTGCAATAGTTCAAGAATGCCCTGCACTGCCACTTGCCACTGCAACAGCAGCAGCAACAACAGCGGGGTCTGGACCTGTTGTAGATCCGGTTAGGCTGTTGGCCACACTCAAAGAAGAAGAAAAAGAAAAAAAAGAAGAAGAAAAAGAAGAAGAAGAAAAAGAAGAAGAAAAAGACACGGTTAGAGGGGTAAGAACGAACTGACACGCAACACTAGAAGCAGGGTAAGCAGGCGGAAGAACACTTTGGGCCGGCTGCAAGTTAGCAAAGTGTTGCAGCTGGTCACGGTGCTGCTGCGCCATCCGGGCCATATCCTCGCGCAACTTCTTGAGTTCGTCGAACACCTTTGCGAGTTGGCCAGTATGGTCTTCAACATCCCGGACTTCTACTATGGCCCTGAGGAGTGGGACAGTCTTCTCTTCTACCTCAGCATCAGTTAAGGCGGACACGGTACTAAAGACGGCTTCATGAGCCTTTACTTTGTCTTCCATCTCCTTCTCCTTCTCTTCCTCTTCCCTCTTCAATGCTTTCTTATAGAAGAATAGGTACTGCGCTTTTTCTGCCTCAGGGGCAGCGTCCATTTGTTGCTTCCATTCTACTGCAGATGCCATAACGAAGGATGAGGGTATTAATAAGTCTCTCAAGAGGGGTCCGTACTTCCTCATACTTTTGGGACGAACACTCCTCTTCCCTCTCCTCACTCCCTCAAGAGCAACACTCATAAGCTTCTCTCCTTTCTCTCTCTCTCTTGTTTGCGATCGTGCAGACGCAGACATTTAAAGAAACAACTTGAAAGCAATTGGAACAGAAGGTAGAACTCCTAGCTGGAGCGACAATTCATTTGGACCGGAGAGCAGTCAAAACAAAAAAATAAAAGATCAGATAGATCTGATTCCGCCACATAGTCTGGTCCCGCCACGAATGAGGTCCTCTCAAGCCTAACTAGACTCAGCTCCGTGAAGACACAACAAATCAAATTCAAAGTGTAGTACGTAAATGCAAGAGAGAATTGAGTGGTGTCCAAGGTGCAATTCAGGCGGCGGATCGTGCAGTAAAGTTTGATAAAACGTCTCAGCTGAGATCCCTTCAGCAGCGAGTGTCCTGGTCCGAAAGCATGAACTCCGAGTCCCAATCAGATAGAGCGAGGTAACTGACGTCAACAGATTTGGGCCTGAGGGGCCCTTCTTGTTTGGGCCCGGTCCCACTGAGTTCCAAATGGTCCCAGTGGAGTTAGAAGCGGGTCCCAACCAACAAGAGTTCCACAAAGACCTACTTTCTGCCCCTACCGAATTGAAAAACGAAATGTAGCCCCAGAAAGAACCTACAGACTACTGCCGTTCAGAATGAAATAAACAAAGCACTGTAGAGAGATATAGCATGGCAAGCAAGATACTCCATTCATTCACTCGTCGGGTGAGTAAGCAGTTCACACACCTCACACACAATCAAGACTATGGAGGATGGAAGAAGAACCCAGAAAACCCCAACAGGCAGTCAATTCCATGCACACACACATGGGCACCTTGGGGGCACGACACTTACCTGAGTGGCCGGGCTCTTGAGATGAAAGAACTCACCCCCCTCTCACATAGTCCTCCTGACCCAATTAGCATCCTCTACACTAGTGTCCTATCATCTAGGAGGGTCAACATCTACCCCAAAGTACAAAGCCGGATCCCCCRTCGATGTTGAWGATCAAAGCAGCAACTTSCAGTCCGTAGGTGCAGATATGGCTGCCACCCTCAAGCTCGCCTAACTTGAGGGGAGCCCTAAAGTCACTCCTTGTCTTCCTTGAAGTCCAGATTCAAGTTGTAGGTGCCCTTCACTGTCGCCTCTCTCAAGTTGCATCACGAAGTCCCACCTTGTGTCTCGCCACCACATCGTGGTCAATTTCGAAGTATACATTCATCAGAAAGTACAATGCCGTCCAATTGCAAAAAGAAATGAATGAACTTGAGAGGACAGAGAGGGAAAGAAGAAGAAGAAGAAGTAAGAAAGAAGAAGAAGATGATGTACTCCAGCATAGACCAATGACAAGGCTCTTCTTCTTCCCCAACCAATCTCCTCCTCCTTATTTCCTCCCCTCTTATTCAAACAAGAAATAACAATAATAATGTTGAATGGCTGAACCAGAATCAATGTTTGAATCCCACTTCTACTGCAGGCATAACATGAGGTCCACCATAGCCATAGCCACCCTTCTCCTTCCTCGTCATTGCAGGCCGAGGCTATGGCGGACTACCGAGGCTTCAGCCTCCTGTCCAAAGGACAACCCAAAGCAACTATGTCGCTGCCCTACTTCAAGCAGCTATGCAGCTGCTCACTGAACCGCCATGCCTGACTCTACCTCAAGCTTCCTTGGTGCAGAACTACCCCAACGGGGGCCTTCCAGATGCAGCGCCTAACAAGCTGACAAAGATGGTGTCCACCATAGCCAGGTAGGTACCTCGCCACTCTCCCCCTTGGTCCCCTTCTCCCTCCTCCTCCTACCGGTAGAGCTCCACCATAGCCAAGGTGGAAGCTCCCGGCTTCTTCCTCCCAGCAGCGCTGTAGCAGCCAGCGCTCTTCCAACCAGCACTCCAACAACGTGACGCCCAACTCGCACACTGAAGAATGAGGCCGAACTCATCCCGTGGCCTCCTGATATAGCGGCCTACTTGCCTCCTGGGCAGTGACATCCAGGCCGCTCGGCCTCCCAAGCAACCGGTACCTCCTCCCTTTCAGAGGGAAACATCATTGCATACTCTGATATTGCTCGTACAGGCTCTAGACTCAGACTGGATGGACTGGGACCGGCCTAGACCTAGCCTACCGCTACTGGGCCTCTAAAAATACCAATTTGTCTTATTCTGCTCGGCCTCGAGTACCCGACACATCTACTGCTACTGGGTGCGGTACCGGCCTACCTGCTACTTGAGTGTTTTTCCACTGCTCTAAGCATCGCGGGCCCCTAGCTCCGCTACTTGAGTGGTTCCCTGCTGCAACCCTCAATGCCACGGCCACAGTTAAGTACCGGCCCTACGGGCCTACCAAACAAGCAAGTACCCTTGCGGGTCACACACACACTCATGCCAACAAGCACTCAGCCAGGCACGCAAGTCAACAGGCACGCACACATACAGACTTAGAAAACACAGCAGAATGCGGGAATCTCAGCAAGGCATCCATTCCATCGACAAAACTTCATAAATCAGCAGTGTTCTCAGTCTGTGTTATGGCGGGTCATTACAGATGCGGTTTAGACCGCGATAGTCAATACACATGTGGAGCTTGCCTCCTTTCTTTGGGACAAACAAAACAGGGGCACCAAATTCAGACTCACTAGGCTTGATCCAACCCTTGCCAATCATTTCATCAATTTGTCGCCGGAGTTCCTCCAACTCGCCGGATCCCATTCAGTATATGCAGCCCTTTGGAGGAACAACACCTTCGACCAACTCGATGGTGTTTCAGACGGATCGCGCGGGAACTCCACGTGGTTCGGCCAGAACTTCCGGGAACCGATCAAGTAGGTTTTGGATGTTTGTTGGGACCAGTGGGGGTGAAGGGTCAGCAAAAGGGTTACCTAGATCAAGTCGCAGATTGTGAATAGAGGCAACCGGATCTGAAGTAGAATCATTTGGATTAGGGGTAGGTAAAGAAGTAGAATCACTAGACGAAGTAGTATTGGTACTAGCCGCAAAAGTAGATGGCACATGAGTAGGGCGAACAAAGGCAACATACAACTGTTCATCCTCTTTGTGCTTGCGTCATTTCTTGCAGAACTGCATGGCATTCAAAAAAGTCGCTGGGGACTCGTGCTTCTCATCCAAGAGGACGGGAAGTTTGTTCCCTTGAGCATCTTTGACCATAAAAAGTGACTCCTTCCACTTGGTCCATTCGCATTGGGACTGCAGCCAGCCCAAGCCAAGGACAATGTCGAAGGGACACTTGTCAAGGACATAAAAGTTCAAAGCGTGGGTGACAGTTTTGTTCTTGTCAAAGGTAGTGCGCACACCTTTGACTGCATGCGTAGAGGAGACAACTTCCTTGTTGCCTACTTGGGTCTGGCAAGGGTTCTGCAAAGCCACTTGCTTCATTCCGAAACCCACTTTGCGTATCCCGTGTGGTGACATAAAGTTTGTAGTCGCACCACAATCAATCAAGACACGGAGATAGCGGTGGTTTATGAGAAGTTTGAAGAAGATAAACTTCACTGTCCCTTGGGCACGCCGATGCTTCATCTCAGCCCAATGCTCCAAGTGGCAGTGGAAGTCAACCGTCTCAGAATCCTCACAAGGCTCGACATACAAAGCATGACACACTTCAGCCTTGGAATCAGTTGATGATTGGGCTTCAAGGGAGCATTGCTGATTTGCATCAGATTTAGTCTCCCTTGTCGTAGAGGATGCTGAAGTCAACTCTACGCCCGGTTCTGGTTTCCCTGCAGCCTATAACATTCTTGTACTTTATGGTTTGGTTTCTGGCAATGCAGGCATACCCTTTTTTTGAGCCTAACCCTCCAATCATTTTCAGTGATCCGGAGGTCAACCCACAGCTTAGTGGCTGCATCCTCCGGTTTCATTGAGATTTTGACTCCCTTGGGAAGTTGGACGTAGTTTTGCCCTGAATTCCGATTCGGTCCCGTAGCATGGGCAGTCTTTCTAAAGGCAGTGAATTTTTCTTCTTCATGATTTGCGTGAGACTCATGGGCTTACGAGGAACAACCTATATCAGCATCCTGTTGTTGGTCGTCACCAAGAGTGGGGTCATCTCCATAGGCCTCCTCTTCAGCCTCCAACAGGTCATGCACAGCAAAGCGGCTGCTTCCTCTGAACCGCCTGCCGCCCATGGGCTTTTTGCTACCTGTTGTGGAAACGAGGTCTATAGCCTCGAGACTGACTATGCCCTTCATTAAAGCGAACCAGTCAGTGTACCCAATGAAGTCCCTGCCTAGGCGATTGGTAAAGTTAGTAGGAACCGCGTTGTCCGCACGAATACCCTTACAAGGGTATCCGCCCTCGTTTTTGCAAGTGACAAAAAATAAGTTTTGTTCAACATTTCAGTACCTCGCGAGAGTCGTGGTTGCATTTTTATTCACGCTGACTGAGTGGTTGACTAGGAGTAGAGAGTGTGTGGGCGCGCAGTTTTGAGGCACGCATGATGATTCTTATTTTTATGTTATAGAGTCAGCGTTTCCACCGACAAAATTTTGACTTTGATTAAACTAGGACTAAGGTGATCTTCCCTGTTGTTTTGACCATGACATACGTGAGTGCGCTCATACAGAAGACGACATCGGGAGTAGTGTTGCTCTGGGTAGTACTTGGAGTATGCGAAGGAATAGAACTGAACGGGTCCGTCGCGCGGTAGGTGCGACTTGACGGTCGTGGGCTAGCCGGTAAGTCAAGGCGTTGGCTTGGGGCATTTCAGTGCGACCGTGCAGCAGGCGGAACCCGTTCATATAGGCTTCCACTAGTGCTAATGCCAACCTTGGGCATAACACCATTGGTTATGGCGTTGGACTTTCAGGGCGGAAATACGAGGATCGAGGGCGGCGCCCGACGGCGATGGAATATTGGAGCAGCTAAAGATGCTGAAGGGTCGAGGGCCCGACGGGGGTATTCCCCCTTGGTTTTGTTGTCGGCCCGTCCGTGGGCCCGGTTGACGGAACTAAGAGGGGCACCGACGGTCTCCCCTCCCCAAAGCACCGGTTCCCGATGTTTGTATTTTATTTTTATTTTTGCTCTTACTTTTATATTTTTCTTTAGTTATTTTAGTTGTAGGTCCCGCTTCTGGGTCTCAGCACCAGTGTTGGTATCAGGATCGTTTGCGGGACCAATGGGCGTAGCTCAATCGATACGCCCATGAACTGTTGAAACAGGGGCTGAGGAATTCAACGTGCATGCCACAAGGCGGAAGAAACCTGAGT